GCGCCGCCTTAATTGTCAAAAAATTGCAATTTTAAAATTTGTGTTCGGGTGATGCAATACTTTTGACCGCCACTGTAGGTATTGATATATATTGCTTTAATATTACTAGAAATTAATTTGTATTACTTTATAAGATAAGCTTTTATTTCTAATAGTTTATCATGTTTTTATCTATCATGATAATATAAATATTTTATACTATCATGTTCTTCTTTTTTTTAATAATTAAAAATAATTTTGAATATTAGAAAGAATAACTAAATCTTCAGTAATAACACTATCAGAAATATGTTTAGCTATTTTAAACTTGATTACAAAGTAAATTTATGCTATATATTAATTTATTTGTAAAATATATCAAAGATAATTTAACATCTTCTAGATTAGAAATGAATTAAAATAATTAAGTTAACTGATTAGTAAATAGTATTTTAAGATAATAAATACAAAAGTTAAGTTTTTCTTTATATTCTATACTAATATCAAAAGATTATATTAATCTTTATTTTAACATTTATCAATTTCTTTACCTTTTATAAAATTTAATCATATAATACATAAAGAAAAATAAAATTTATAAACTAATATTTAGTAGAAGTTACTTTATTTTTTTATTTTCTAATTGTGTTTTTTATTTTTATTTCAAATATATAATTTTTCAGATTAGACTGATTATAAAAAATTTAAACAAATATCTAAAAACGATAAATAAGTATTTGAAATAAATTTGAAATTTGTGTAAAGATTTAAATTAATTTGTAAAATTATAGTTTGATAAATTGAACCTCAAATTGATTTTGAGATTAGAGTTTGTATTGATTTCTCAAAATATGGGTATTTACATAATAATTATACATACATGTATACAGTGTTATTATGAAACATTGATGGAATACTGATGGGATATAAATAGGATAGATAGAACATTTAGGATATAATGTGAGACAGGTTGTGACATATAGCTAAGACATATAGCTAGAATAATAAATCTCACTGCATATATATATATCATAATATATTCAAAAAAAGTTATACAATATATACATTACTATTCGTATATAATACTTAGTTATAATTAGCTAAAACATTTTTATATAGTATAATTTATCTACGGACTTAACTATTTTTATTATTTGCTATTTGGTTATTTAATAATCATTTTTTTTAGATCTTTTAACTTTTTAGTTAGATTTAAAATAATAAAGATTTTTTGGCTTTTAATTTTAAATTTAAAATAGTAAGTTCATTTCATTTCTTTGTTTACTTTATTCTTTCATTTAATTTTAATAGTCATTTTTTTAGATCTTTTAAATTTGATTTTTCAGCTCTAATTTTTAAGTAATAAGTTCATTTTCTTATTTCATTTTATTCATTTATTTATTTAACAGCTATTTATTTTTTTTTTTTAGATATTTCTTTTAATTTTTCAATTCTGAATTTTAGATAATATAATAAATTTTATTTTTTATTTTATTTTATTTTTTTGTTTATTTAATATTTTTAAATTTTTATTTTTTTTTTAGACATAAAATTAGAATAAGCTTAAACTGGATTGATTAGATTGAATAGAATTATTGACAATTTTAGTTTTATATAAAATTAATTTTTATATAATAATATTTATTACCGTAAATGATAGACTATAGTATCCCTTATAGTATAGTATCATACTCATAATTTTGATACAAAAAGTCTGGGTACTATGCATGAAGAGTGCAAGATTTTTTTTACTTAATTTGTATGATATCCAAGGGTATTACACTTTAGAGAATATTATACTATAAGGGGTATTATACTTAAAAATTTATATTGATCAGCATATACAATAAATAAAATTAAGTTTATTGATTTATTGCAATCACGACATATACGACACATTTATTTATTTTTGCAGTAAATTTATTAAAAACATGATCAAAATTATTATTTATCTACCAACTAATATTCATTCTCATAATCCAAAATTTCCTTTTCTTCATATTTATTTATGTTAGATTCATTACTATTAATATTGTCACTATCACTATTACTATCATCACTATCGCTACTATTGCTATCTCTATAAGAATTATCATTACTGTCACTACTAAAATCATCAATATTCTGAACTTTATTCTGCTCACTTTTCTTTTTTTTTGTATTATTAAGTAAACTATCATAATCAAACATCAAATTATCCTCACTTCTATTTTTAGCAACAGAAATTTTGTAACATTTAAATGACTTTTAAATTAAAGAAATGTCTATACTAATTTTTTTACCTATTCAGCTACAATAGCATAAGAAGAACGTTTGATTCTTCCAGCAGATGTTAATTCGCAAATTTTAGAATTTATCTATTCATTATAATAGTAACGCAACTTTACTTTAAAACTTTTATTAATAGCTATATCTAAAGGTTGTAATTTACTTGTTAAACCACCAGAAATGACTGCAATATTAGTTTACTTCTCATTAAATCTATTTTTAACTAATTCAACAAGATATTCATGAAAAGAATCTAAAACTAATAAAGACCTTGGGTTGTTAAGTATATTTCTTTGAGTCTATATATTCTCAATCCATTAGAGTATTTCTTGTTCATTATACCATCCTTTTTCATTTACGTATATATGAATTCCTTAAGGAAATGATTCTCTTGGTATATTTTAAGCTTAAAAATACAAACAGCTGGTAGTTTTGTATCATCAGCCATACATTCTAATATAACAGTAAAATTTGTTTTTTCATGACCAGTAGTTCATATATTAACAGTTAAAGTATCGTGATAATCTAAAGTACAGAGGGTGGACAAAAGTATCCGCACACCCTCCATAACGTGAATTAATGCTAGTAAAGTCATATGAGCGCAATA